CTGTCAAAATGAACACTCTTGCATTAGTGTCTCTTTTTCTCGCAGATCAAATAATATATAAATAAATATAAGGTGTTTTTTAATAGCATTTCTTAGCTATTTTAGTTTATCTAAACAAATCAAAATTTGTCAGTATCAACAAATGTTTATTTTAGGTCATAGAACAAAAGCCTTGCATTCAAACTCTCCAAGATATTTTTAATTTTTTTTTCTTTTTTTACTTCATCTTTGCTTTGCTTGGGTTTCAATCCATTAAACAAGAGAAAGCAGTAAACTTTTTTTAAAATATGTAACTAATCCTTCATCGTGTGAGGCTCAGTATAAGAGTCAGCACGTTTCAGTGGCAGCTACTTAGACAGAACAGACTGTGAGAGAACAGAGGGCAGACAGAGGTTGGAGTCAGAGAACAGTGATGGAGGAGGAGGAGGAGGAGGAGGAGCAGCACTGCTCCCTTTAACGACTCTAGCAGTGAAAGTATGCAGAACAACTTCTGCTTCTGTCATTAGGGGCCCGACATCTCTCACAGGGAGACAGACTCCGCTCAGCTTCCTAAAAGTTGAGGCTAAAAAAAGGTTGGGATTTAAGGAAATCGTCGAGAAAAGTCGACCGTTAGAACGAGGCGTCACTTTTCAGCAGACGAAAATGAACATGATGAGAAGAGACAACTTCTGCTTTATTAACCAGGAGACATGGCAGTCTGTAGAAGGGGTAGGATAAAGTACAGCTCAGACTAGAGGATTGTCGAGGTACTTCATCCTCAAATTCAGAATCAGATCTGGCACGATAAAGTCGCAGTAATGAGTATCATTTTAGGTAATTCATGACACTAGGAGTACGTACGAGTGATTGAATCATTTTCCAGTTCATTTGAGTTACTAATTACTGCCTTTATCTAATATTATTTTTTAACTACTGTTTAAACATTTAAACTCTTAAATATGTATTGGAGATTTCACATATGACATTGTAAATATTATTATTATATTTTTGTTATTTGATAATTATTATTGTATTTTTTTGTGTTTTTACAGTGTGTACTTCATGACTTCCTACTGACCAAATTGCAACTCCAGTAAACATGAAGACGCTTTGTGTGAAAACCCCACAGTTTCTGACCCTGTTTGTCAGAACCCACCGTGACTGTCCACATACTGACCTCAGCTCACCATCGCCTCTGCCGCTGGGACCATCTGTCCGCTCATTTGTCTTTCTTTTTAGGAGCCTGAGCTGACTGACTGACTGTGGGGGGAGGCAGCATCAGGTTATATCCCCGTCCTCCTGGGTGTTCTCCATCCTGAGCTCCACTCTGGAAGGCTGTATGGGAAAAACACAGACAGGATCTCAGTTTAGTTCCGAACGCCACATGGAGTGAAACAGTGAGGGAAACCTGTTATAGATATAGTTGACATTTATATAGAAAGTAATTAAAATAAATGAGTATGTTACTACAATGTTGTTAGCTAGTGCAAATATATCATCAATATTAATATATATATATCAT